CAAAAAGCTTCATTGTTCTTCGTGCATGAAAAATGGGGATCTTCGGGAAACTCCTTGCGATCGCAAGACTTTTACCGATTTATTTTTCTCCGTGTGACGTCCGTATAGAAGATCAAACAATCAATTTAACATTGGGATAAATGGAGTGGAGAGAAAAACGTGAATATCTCGGAAATTAGATGCGATAAAATGGGCCGTTTATACGTGGACGTACACATATAATTGGACTGAAATTTATAGAAATTTTTTATTTGCAATGACGAAATTCCTTGAAATTTCCGTATTACGGCAACGCGATAAAAATTCCCAATAAGTGTTCCCGGAATTTCCGCGAAAATATTACTGAAACCTACAGACATCATTCCTGAATTCAAGACTTTCCTTTGATTTTCAGGATCATGTGACTGGAAATTTTTTTCAAAATGACTTAATTTTAACATTGTTTACTCATTGAATTTTAGAAATGCAGCTGCCTAAAAAAGACACATCGATTCCGAGGAACAACGTTTTTTTTTCTCGGTAAATACAGACAATAGAGAAATGTCAGAGTGGAATTCCCTGATTTTTTTTCACTCTCGATCAATTTTTTAAAGATTCAAATTGATACTTGATTCATTCACATCGTTCCATTCCATCGGGAGATATTGTCGATTGGAGACAATATTTTATGGTCACTGAAGGAGGCAAACCGTTCATCTAAATCTCGCAATAATCTACGAAAAATCTTATTCATTAATCTATTATTATTCGATTAATCCCATCATGTGTAGATCGCTGGAGAACAACGGAAACGTTCCAACCGTTCAAACGAGTTCATTCGTTCATTCGTTCATTCGTACGTATGTACCGTAAAACAATAATTACTAATTTTAATGAATACTCGAATATTTAAATATCCAACTGAATTGTTTTTTCTCACCCTCAAGTAGGAAAAAATTGTTGATCAAAAGTGAACGAATGAAAAAAAGTAGACAATAATTTCTCCACCTCTAGTATAGTTGGAAGTCATAAGCTACAACACTTATGACATATGACAGTTCATCGTGATCATTATCACTACCCTCCATGTACGTGTAAGAGTGCATTCAACTATGTTTTCTCTTCTCCATTCATCAGAAATCACTGGAGAGCACAACAGAGTTCGTATGACTTGAAACGGTGAACACAAGCGTTGATGGAGCATTCCAAGAGTTGACATTATGCTGTTTTATCGCTTCGTTTTATTCGAGTAAAATATGTGACCAGAAGACGAAGAAATCAATGTGATGACTTGAATCCGGCCCGCTCTTTAAAATAAAATAACAGGATATCTTGATGGTAACATTTAATCGTTGAGAAATAGTTGTATCCCTCCCCTCAACAGGAGGATTTTAAGGGCCTCATCACGTCAACCTTTTAGTTGAAGATAAATAATCAGAATTCCAGGGTTTCTGCATTGCACACATGACAGAATTGCATCTGAGGTGGCCATTGTGGTTTTCCATTCTCCAAGTGACCCACAATCGCAATAATATACTTCGAACCTAAAAATTATGGATAAAAATTATTCCCTTTCAATCTGTTTTCCTTCAACGAATATATAAGTTAAATGTCTGTAATGAGCACCGTCCAATTGCGTGCATAAGGAAGGGTCTCGTCAATCACTGTGATACATGAATAACGGAAATCGTTTAGATTGAAATGATTTTTATGAATGAAAGAAATGGAGTTCTTTTTACTCACCGTCCACGGATTCATATAAGGAGTTGGCACGTGTGAAATCTTCATTTTAACCTTATGAGAGGGGATTGGGCTCAGAATTCACAGCGTCATTAAATGGATGATATAATAATTTAGCCCTCTTCATGAGTTGTACTTCCAAACACCTTGATTCCAACTGCTCCACTGGATAAATTCTCGGGCGCTCAATTCGTTTTTTCCAATTATCCTATTACATCAAGGAAATTACATTTTGGAGCAATGATTTTGGAGTAATGGAGGAACAGCTGGATCTTACACAGTCACATATTGTAGTTAAGTGGGCGGCATCACGTGACCATGACGCTTGCACTATAGTATGATTGAAAACCAATTTTTCTATATTATTCGAAAATTAACTACTCTTGAACACTCATGAACGTGAATTATTCGTCTGCAAACGATTTTCTAATCACTACGTGGGAGCAAAATTCGAAAATTCCATTTTTCAATATTTTTTTGGGCTAGCGACATGAACAATATGGGGTGGGTAGGGTGGACTACACCACTCATCTATTTCTCCCTATAATTGGAAATGTTATGTCCTATCCAAGTTATNCCATTGTATTCCAGACTTTCTTTATTCTTCTATTTCTGGTATATTTTTAATTTTCTGAACTATTTAAATTATTTTCCAACAATAATTTGAATCTCGCGGACTGCTATGGCCGATTAATAGCCCCATCTATAAATTTCAACGTCAAGACATCACAGAAAATGAATCACTCTTGAACACTCATGAACGTTAATTCCTTATCTACAAACAATTTTCTAACTACTACATGGAAGAAAAATTCGAAATCGTGAATTTTAATTTATTTTACGGCTAATTACACGCCAAACACAATTTATTTTTTTATAAATAAATGATTGACTCTTAAAAGTTAAAAATTACAATACAATGACCAGCGAACGAGCTACAAGCGATCTGATAAAGTTTTTTGGTGGAAAACTAAATTTTCCTGGCTGGTATCATACTGCTTTGATAAAATGCACGCACACATGAAATAATTTCATAGAAATACCCCGTTTTCTCTAAGAAATTCTATTGGAAAATTCTATCTGTTTATTGCGCCATTTCTATAGACGTTTCTGCAACTTTATCATGTCATTTTGTTAACAGATGGTTGATAGAAGTCCTTGTGCCTGAATTTTTTAGGTTTTTTCCGCTATTCTCATTTTTTATCAATTTCTGGATATCACTTCTGAGAAAAAAAACTTGGAAAGTCCTTACCCAAAAATTTTCATAGAGAAAATCCTATCAAAATAAATTATGTACAGAAATCAACATTTGTAGCTATTTTTCGGTAAACAAATATGGAAGTTGAATGATATTTGATTGAATATTGCCGAAAAAAGAAAAACCCTTTTTCAATAGAATCCTGATAAAGTTCCCGAAGAAGTGCAATAGAACTTTTCAGAGAAAGTACTAGGATTTTCTATTATTAATTTTTTTTCGTGTGTGTCGTTATTCCATTCTCCAATAGCAGTTCAACGAGTTGCATTGTCACAAAAAAAACCTTTTTCTACAGAATTTGAAATATTTTAATCTGTTACAAAGACATTAGACAAGATGAAATAATATTTGAAGGATTAAGATCTAACGCTGAGAGCAGAATCGGAGGATTTCTTCAAAATAGATAGTTATTTCGCAGTAGCAACAATTCCGTAGAAAAAATATTTGGGCCGGGTTTCAGGTGAATATATGAAAAAGANGTTTTCCAGCGACAGCGCTGGGACTTTCTATGAATTTTTTGACCTACGTGTCAATGATAAATATGTCGAGAAAAAGGAAAAGACTTTTAGATCATTAGATTGTGCATTCATTATACTATTGATTATAATATGTTCGATTTTACATTCCTGACAATTATTACAAAATGCGAGGAGCTACTGTATTGAGAACCCACTTCCGGTTATCGACAAATTTATACTCGGGCCCTACCATACCAACAGTTCCGTACGCTCCGTCGTAATCCATGCGTCACCGATACGAATTTTGCTGTTGAACACTTTACATTGGCCCTGCTGATCACCCCTATAATCTCTGGACGAGTTGTCGGCACATCTAGTTCGCTCTGTGGCCTAAATCGACCGTGGCGCCATCCCTTCCACGGTGCACTTACTATTTCAGCTTGGGGTCACCTGCCCCTGGAGAACTGAGCCTTTACTTTAGAGATTATAGGGGAGATGAACAGGGCCAATGTAAAGTGTTCAACAACAAAAATTGTAGCGGTGGCGCATGGACTACGATGGAGCGTACGGAACTGTTGGTATGATAGGGCCCGAGCATAAATTTGTCGATAACCGGAAAGGGGTTCTTAATACGGTAGCTCCTCGCATTTTGTAATAATTGTCAGGAATGTAAAATCGAACATATTATAATCAATAGTATAATGAATGCACAATCTAATGATCTAAAAGTCTTTTCCTTTTTCTCGACATATTTATCATTGACACGTAGGTCAAAAAATTCATAGAAAATCCCAGCGCTGTCGCTGGAAAACTCTATAGTTTTCCAGTGATTCTATTGAATAATTGTGCAGATTTTGTTTTTTTTTTACTATAGTAATGTTCGATTATATATATTTATTCCCCCCCTGAGTGAGAAAGGAATATGTATCGCGCTCGCTCCCACTCATTGTCGTCTCCGTCGCG